CTGGATTAGTTCACTGTTTACCTTTGGCCCCATAATCAAACATTCTCATTTTGGTTCATACCTTCAGTTATTTGTCCTGTGGGAATCTGGCTTTGATTTCCAGCTCATCAGCCAGGTCCTTAGCATCAGTTGCAATGGTTATGAATCCCTTAGCAGAATGGTAATTTACAAAGAAATTCTTGGAGGCTTCCAGATGATGCATAATTTGTTCAGTATCTGCTTCACGTTCTTGAAGCATTGGCTTGCAATGTTGACTTCATAAAATAGATCACATTACTGCACCACACAAGAATTTTAGCAGTGGATTTTGTGACCGTACCTTCAGCATTGCTTCAAGCTTTGAGCCTCCTGTAAGTCTGAGTCCCTGGCAACTGAAAATAAAGCATCAAAGATTTCTGCAGTGTGTTCACAAAATAAAAGGAGAACATAAATTTCTCTTTCTCGATTGCAATTCACTGGAGCAGTTTGGAAAGCTGAGGTCTCCAGAGTGCAGCAGTTGACAACTTTTTGGAGTCATGGGCCAGAACAGCTTGCCTTAGGGTTGAGGTGGGCCAATGTTTCAACATGGCTGCTGCCGCAGAGGCTGTTCCTTGCCATTGCTTCTTCTTCACTCCCAGTGGAGCAAATGCAGCTCCTTACTGCCCAGCCCCAGTGCAGCTCCTCACTGCTTGGCCAAAGCATGGGTATGGGTCAAGCCCCACAATGCCAACATGCTGCCCAAGACCCCCAGCTCCACCAGGGCCCAGACCTGGCCCGCAGGCTCTATGTTGTTGACCCCTGACTTAGTGGATAGCTTGTTAGCTTTGAACTTATCAGATGTGGGTATAATTCTCTGCTTTGCCATGGACTTCCTGGGTGGCCTTAGGCAAGCCACTGAGGTTATGTCTAATCCAGGGATAGTGAGCTCATTGGACTCTGAAGGTTGCACGTACACCATGGGACGACTCACAGACCAGATCTGGACTGTGGTGGTGGAGCCACTGTTTTGGCGTGGCTCAGAAACATGGGCAGTTAATGCCACTGCACCCCTCCCCCGCCTCCTTCCCCTTTTCCCCTTGCTTCTGATCTTAGTCACTAGGGGTGGGGGGAAGTGAGCAGCATTAACTGGTTGGGGTCCAAATTGCCCCAGAGCCCTTGTAGGCAGGAGAGATTAGCACTGCCACCACAGGGACTCTGGCGATGAGCACTGTGGGCTGAATTGGGGAAGCCCACCTCCATGTGCCAGATCTGGGCTGCAGGCTGGCTGTTTGACATCGCTGGGCTAATCTATCTGCTGGGGGAGCATGGGTGTCCCACCAAGAAATAAGCCCCTCCCTTGCCATGGCAAGGCCTGTGGTAAGGCCTGTTCAGGCAACAGTGTAGACCCAGGCTCAGGCCTGATCAGAGCTGTCCGCCCTGCCGAACTTGTAGGCTTCCGCTTACACAAAATAAGCAAGGTTTATTTCTTGAGGATATATCCAGGGCTACTCAGGAGGTGGTTTGGGCATGCTCTTTCATCTCCTGGTTTCTCAGTAACCCATCTGTGAGATAGGGATAATAGTACCTTATCTCACAAAATAATTATAAGGAGAAATATGAATTATAAGGATTGCTGGGTGTTCACCTGCTATGACACTGCAGGGCAAATAAAAACTGTAAACAAGGGATTCTTCTTCTTTATTTTAAAAAGCAGTTCTAACCAATATGTAACTTATGGACATCACTTCTTATTTGGACCTGTCGAGTCTCACTGAGCCAAGGGACTTTAGGTGGACATGGCACCATCTCCGAAGCTCAGAGAGTGGGGAGGTAACTAAAGGAACAATGGAAGAAGGTGTAAATTAAGCCAACCTCTGTGGGTACGATTTTGTAGCAGTTGAATTGAAGATCTGAGTCGGAGGCAGTCACCATATTGCACACTTCACCCAAGCCATGAACAAAGGCAAAGGTTACATGCAATGCGATGTACATTCCACACACGAAAAAGAAAATATAGAAGGACATTAATACAGTCTCAAAGCACTCTGGAGTCAGGAAGTGGTGGGATATGTGCCTGTGCACCGTGAGACAGTTTTTAATTTTCACAGAGATGGTGAGAGGCATCTCTCTGACACACCGGCCACCTTCCTGCCAAATTTCACATTCTTTCTCTGCAGAGAGGCACTAAAGCATTTCAAAGAGAAGATCATCAAAATTTCAGCCTGCTTCTCAGAAATGGCAATAACCATTTTGACTGAAATTTAAGAAAAAGAGATCAGTCTGAGGCAGGCACTCAACATATAAATATTTCAAATGGAACTATTAAAAATTGTCAAAGTTATAAGCAAAAAAAAAGTGTGCGTGTGTGTGTGTGGGGGGGGGGTTATAATAAGGAACTTCAGTCTCCCAACCTTACCTATACTATAGAAAAATAAAGTGCTACAGCAAATATATCTTTTCAAATTAAATTAAATGCAACTTAAATGTAGTATAAACAACACTTTTAAAAAAAATTGGAAGCAGTTTCACAGCTTTATAATGCAATTCCCTTTAACTATGATCTCCAACTCAAAAATGTTTTCAGAAATACTGGTGAGGGAGAGCTGGAGGGAAAAAAGAATTTTTAGATGCCCAATTCATATTCAGTGAGAGATCCTGCCAGAGATGGAGCAAGCCCAACAGGAAAAGCACCAGTATACATTTCTAGTTACACTATCTCTATGAAAAATAAATAATACTGAACTGGAAGATGATGACTGTTTGTAGGGAAATATTGTAGAATGCTAAAGACTGGAAAGAGTTTTTCCTGACCCTAGGGAATATAATGGTAGATAAAGAGATTGACCATTTTGGGAGGAGGATGCCTTCATTTCTCTATGTGACTGTAGATTATTTCGGCTTCAGAAGACAAGAATGTCCCTTTAACATCTGACCTGGCCTTTATTTAAGAGAAGCACTTCACGGTTCAGGAAAGACAGACAATTTTCTAATTCCCAGCTCTGCTGGAGGCTGAGGCAGCAACTTCCAGACAGGACACCTGCTAACACTAGAGAAATGGCATTATTATGTCTACAAGTTTACAAATCTGAGGATCAAAAAAGCCTTTGCTGCTGCTGCTACTACACAGGCCAAGGACGACGACTTTTTCAAAACAGTGTTTTAGAGGGGTTTTTTTCTTTTTGCAAGAAATGGTTTTCTTTTCACTTCCAGTCACAGAAGATTGGTTTCCACGTGAAAAAGTCAATAGTCAAAGAGTTTTCTAACTTTCATTGGTGTGTAGCAGAAAGAGGATTAGACGTGGGGCCTTTTTACTGTCAAGCCTTTAAGCAAATAAATGTTCTTGCATTCTTATAGAAACAAATCTAACTTAAAAAAAAAATCAGGAATATATGGGGTTATCCCCCAGGCCCATATTCAGTAGTTAACAGATCAATGCAGAGTATTTCAATAAGGAATTGGAGAAAATTAGCATTGAATCTTTGTTGCCTATAACTTTGCTTTATTTTTTTCTTTAGGTCATCAGACTTGAGGGCACAGATGCTTCAGTATGATAGTACATCAGTACTGAATATTATTCAACAGTTATGTCAAAGAAATTTGAATAGTTGGTGTTTTAACATGTGTTTTCAGTGCAGGATTGAGTCTCAGCTGTTATCCTGAAGATGATTACAAAAGGACTGGTACTTGTATCTGAGATGTTTTAGTACTGTAATTCATATTTCCAACAGTAATCTGGCTACTACCATGATTTCTGGTAAATGAGTTTGATTTTAGTACCCAAAGGACAAGAGTATTACTAATTAATATTTTGCACTCTCATAATACCTTGTATTGAAAGTGTTTATAATCTAATTCCCCCCAACCATATACATTTTTAGGTATGTGAGTACTGAATAGGACTGCCTAAACACCTGATTGTAGTGGGAGGGCTTCATTAAGTCTCATCTCGTAAGTGAGACAGATAAGCATTATCCATCCCATCTTCAGATTGGAGAACTGAGGCAGAGAAGTAATATCCTGAAGGTCACCCAGCTAATCAGTAGCAGAAGTGAAGCCTCCTGCTCTAACAGAGGAAACAAATTTAAGGAGGGAGCATATAACAGTAATTGACTTCTCAGGCAGCCTATACTTTTCAGTCAGGCTTTCCTCACGTTATCAAGTACTCCAAGATTTTATGTGTATAAAATGTTTTTCATTATGGCCAACTTTAGCTTCATCTTCAATACCATCTCTCTCAGTCCTGTCTTCTTATATTGGAACCCCTTTGATTCAGTTAACTAGTTTGATAAGAGTGGAATTTTATTATGTTGGTACATTAAACATGCTCGTATTAGGCTGAAAAGGGGGGACTTTGTATGTGTGCGTGCTTAATAAATACAATTATTCTCAGCCATGATTCAGGTTTTACTAGCATCTCTGGGATTAGTTCTGCCCTTACTTAGACCCTCCTGTAAACCCTGCTAAAGTCAGCTGAAAGTCTTCAAGTTTTTGGAGCAGGCTGGTATAGGAGCAGCTCTACTTGAAACCAGTGCTTTTACACTAACATGAAAGGAGGATTGGGCTCTTCTATTTCAAAACTAGTAAAGAATGATAGCTGAGAGTGTCTGCAAGTGATCAAGTGCCCCTGAGCACCCAACCTGAGATCCTTTACAAAGGGTCCTACATTTTCAGAAACAGCTGAGCTTCAAGCCTTCTAAGTCCTAAGCTGGGACTTAAATACAATGTAGGCACCTAATTCCAAAGTTTCAATCCTCAAAACTACTCTGGAGGTGCCTAGAGCCACCTCCACTTTTGACAGTACAGTAAGTTCTGTTCTGTACATGCCTAGAAACACATGGCTTTGACCAGGCTGGACAGGTTAGTACCTGGTTTATGCCTTAGCTTGCAGAATCCCTAAGCTGGGTGACCTTCTCGCTGCCTATCTTGCCTGAGGGACTTGATTTAGTAGGTATTTTCAGAGACTGCTTACCAAATCCAGCTTCCCACAAAATGACAAAGGAGCCCCCCCCCATTTTAATCAATGGCTGGAGTAGCTACATAACTTTTTAACAATGCTTGAACAGTTACAGCACCTAGGACAGATTGTTCTGTAGTGGGGTAAGGGCAGGACTTTCACTTCCTCCTGTTGAAACTGTTCCACTTTGCATGGACTCCCAAAATATTGATGGGATGAAGGGGGTGAGACAGCCTGAGCTGGACTCTGTATCCTAATGGCTAGGATATTTGGAAGGGAAGGCCTCTGGATTCCAGTCCCATCTTGTAGGACTGTTTATGTATTTGGTATGAGACAAGTCATTGGAGAAAGCACATGAATGGTCTTTGGAGCTGGGTTGGGATCTGAGGGTCTCCGCCAGCTCAGGTGAGTGCCCTAGCCATTCACTTTATTCTGTCTCAATGACCCTTTGAAAATGTAATTCTTTTAGGTTCTTTTTAATTCTCCCCTCTAGATAGCCTCTTACCTGGTGGTTAGGGCACCTTCCCAGTCAGGGGGGAAATGGACTTGAATCTCCTCAAGCAAAGATAAGAAATGAATCCAGGTCTCTCATATCCTAGATACTGATACACCTTGAACACCTGATAATGCCTCCCATGTTCTTTTTTTTTTTTTTTTTTAAATAAAGGGTGTAGGTGCCTACCTTCATGAAAGAGTTCAGGGCTATGAATCCAGAGGCAGTTGTACTCTTGTAGTGTTGAGTGATGCCCTTAAACCCTAATGAGAGGTAGATTTAGGACATGGCCACGCACTCAGCATATTCTGGTGACTGCTTGAGGTGGCTTGAGGCTAAGCATGCTGTTTTCTTAGGATCAAGTCCTGAGATACCTGCCTCTCTCTGCAGCTCACAAGGGCCTCTAACTCAGAGCTTTGCATTCCACTCTAGAGGCCAGTTGCCTAAAAGCTAGGAACGTCAGTGCTCAGCACAGCGGCTCCTTAGCGATAGCCTTTTGGAACATGGGTCTATATTGCTCTCATAAGGTTAGCCTATATATAGCCAGAGCAAGTGTTACCACATATAAAAAGGAGCAAAGCCATTTCTATACACGTATTAGACAGAGGCAGGTAATTTATTCCCATTCAAGAACAACCTGGTTTCACCCCCCATCTCAGGAAGGCGCTTTCTCCCTGGCACCTTGCCTTGTCCGCTGTGGCAAGGTTTGGGTTGTGTTCTCTTTTCCTCCCAAGCACAGACAGTAGCACCACTTCAGGGAGAGAAGGATTTTTTTTTTTTGAGAGGGGGAGGGGGGGCTTAATGGGAGGGAGAAAGGAGGCAGGTCTCATGTGCAGATTTTAATCTGATCACTTCCCTGTCAAACTAATCCCTGCCTGACTCGGATCGGACTTTAAGAAACGTGCCTGGAAACCAAAAAGCAAACCTCATTTGAATGAAGCACACACTCCGCAGCCCCCATCTGCAAAGGGCTGCAATTAAATGCAAAAAAAAAAAAAAGGAGAGGGGAGAAAAAAATTAGCATTTTCTGTGGCCATCTGGCATGAGGAGCAGGCAATGGGGAACAAAAGGAGATTTAGGCAAAGGGGAGAAGCGAGTGTGCCATGGCATTGACCTGCAAATGAGCCTTTGTGAGCGAATTAAAGCTTCCCGGACCCCCCGGGACACCCCAAAACAGGCACCATTACAAACCATCCGGACAAAAACCCACTCATCAAAATTGTCTGTGATTTGGGGAGGGGGTGGGGGGGGAACAGGACCACAGCCATTTAAATATGCACTAGTCCTCTCCCAGCCGCTCTGTAATAGGCAGTTAATAGTGGGCTGGCTGAAATGAGCTCCGATGTTTGGATGAACCTGCTACAATTTCTAGCCCCCAGTCCTTGCTACAAAACCCTTGCCTCCTCAGGGAAATGCAGCGGAGTCCTACAGTTTAGGCTGGGCCTTATGAATTAGATTTCATTTTTTACAAGAGGAAAAATATAACCCATCTGAGGCCTAATTTATAGCCTCACCGCCAAACAATACAAAGAAGAAAAAGGCAGTTGGTGATATATTGGCCTCCAGATGCTGTTTATTTAAGTCTTGATCTGTTGTGGGGGCGGGGTTCTTCGAAAGTATATTTCCAAAGCAAACAATAATCATTTCCCAAGGACAATGTGTGGACCTTTTGTGAAAGCAAGAGGAACTTTGCAGGGTGAGGGGAGAAAGAAAAAAACCTTCACGTTCCAAAAAAAGAAACTTAAAACTTGTCAGGGCTGGAGAAAGGGTTTCTTTTAGGTTCCCCCCCCCTTTGCTGACTCTTGCCTTCCAATAAAGAGGAAACAAAGAAAATCTTGAGAATTTTAAAGTGTATGCCATTATTTGTTAGGAGCCGAAGAGAAAGGTCATTTAAAAACCTTTCCCCAGAGATGAAGGAATAAACTAGGGGCCGGCAGAGGGAAACTTGTAAATGAAATGTGTTTCTTTTATGATCCTCCTCTCCCTGGGGCATCACCCCCATTATAACTCCCCAGCTCTATATACTCAGCTGCTGTTCCTCTGGGGCTACAGCAGGTAGATTAAGAAAGGGGGGTGGGGAAATGAGGGAAGCACTGACTGTCTCTGGAGAGGACAGGGAAACAAAAGCAAATGGGAATAGCAGGCAATTTATTCCTGCGAGCAATTCAAGAGGAGCCTTCTAGAGGAATCATCAATCATGGTGGGGTAGGGGGGGCAAGGACTTCAGCTAACCACACTAGGTCAGACACACAGGGAAAAATAAAAAGTGACAGCTCTGGGTCTTCCCACTATTAAAAAAACAACCATCTAGAGAAAGTCAGAAGTCTGCAGGGCAAAGCCAGCCTGCCAGGCCACAGCCATTCCACCGAGCATCCTTTGCTCGTGAAGCAGGAGGTTTGGGGTTAGATGCAATTTTGGCTCATGTTCCACTACTGCAGGGCAATTCAGAGCCTCACAAACATACTCCACAAGAACGATTTGTGGGCCGCTTTCCTGGCTGGAGAAAAGATGATGCATACTCTCAGGCTGATTCCCTTTGCTCCTAGCACTGAGTCTCAAATATTCCCATCAGGAGCCAGCGATCTGCCCTAACCCAGGTTGACTGGAATGGGGCCGAGTACGTCCTCCCTTTCCCTACCTTGACCCCAGCTGAGAGCAGGTGAGAGTGATCGATTGGTCTCTCTGGACTGCAGCCCTCTCTTCCCCCGCTGCCCCCCTGTGCTTGGAGCCCCCAGGTGCCGCTCTCCCTGGGTTTGTTTGCAGTCAATATTCATGTGTTTCTGTCACCAGGGTGGCTCTTTTCACAGTGATCAGCCGGGCAGAAGGCTGAGTGACAGGAGACTCGTGGCTCAGCAGCTTTGGGAGGGGGAAAGAAAGGAGAGGGATTCCAGGCTCCAAACCCCTCTGCCTTGGCAAGTGTGTGCGAGGGGGGAGCCCTGTACTTTCCTTACAGAGGTGGGGTAAAGAATTATTCCAGTCCTCAGGGTGGTCAGAACTGGCCTTTGCCACCCCTTGAAATCCCACCCTTCCCAAAATTGCCTAATGCAAGGGAGCAAGAAATATAAAGGAGAGTCTGAGCTCCTATTTTAAAAAAAAGAATATGAGCATCTCTTTTTTTCCACTCTCTGAAAAGCCTTGAAATATAACCTGTGCAACCCCAGCATCAGGGTTAACAGCCTGGCATTGAGTTTTCCTAAGAAGTCTTGGCTCATTTACTTTCCCCTCACATCCACCCAGGGATGAACTTCAGGGGGTACAAAAAACCCCAAAAACCCAACACTGCCGGGGTCCCTTGATTTCTGGAAAGACCCCAGATCAAAGTCACAGCTGACAAGTTTCCTTCTACAAATATTACTTGGCTCTGAACTCCACTAGTTCATCAGACCCAGGCTAGTAGTGAGTACAGGGCAAAACATTTTACGAGAGCCACAAGAGATGCATCCAGGGTTGTATGATCTGTCACAAAGATGGTTTTGTGAGAAAAACACACAGGATTGCAAGGCTGCTGGTTCTGCTGGAAGCAGAGAGAGGGTGAGTGACAAAACATATCAGAGGCTTGTTTGGCAAAAGTGTTAAGGCCAGTCATGAGAATAGCAGCTTGTACTTACCTAGCTAAGGTGCTAACCTTCCATCTCAATTAAGCCACGTACCCACATAAGCCTCATAGGTAAGCGTCAGTGTCCTCTTGCAATTGGGGAACTGAAGCAGGGACAGGGTAAGGCCACACAGTGGCATTGTGGAAAATCATTACACTTTTATGCCTCAAGTTATCTTCAAGTCAATCTGGGAGCAAACTGCAAATTAAAAAGGAATCCTTTTAGTGACAGATGCCAGCATGAGGATTTTGAGAAACTTTGTTGCATGCATGAGTGCAGCTCATTATAAGTTATCATTTCTTTCTTTCTTTCTTTCATTCCACTTATAGAATCCAACTTGATACGAACCCAAGTGCTACCTCCTCCTCTGGCATGGTAACTTTACTGTGCTTTTTTTTTTTTTCTTTTTAAGGAAAACAAAAAGAATCTATATACTTGTGATTTTCAGTCTAAATGGCAAGAAAAATCACAAATGCTGACCATGCTTCTCTTTCCAAAAGCAGAGGTGAATAAATTATAGACCTTGACAAAGAGGAGAGAACCCTGTAACAATGTCTCCAAGCCAGCGTTTTCTAGAGAATTACTATTCCAGTCTTGGAAATCAATTGATACATAATTAGATTCCTCAAGAGAGGACAAACAAGAGCTGCCATTCATCGCCTCCTTCTCCCACATGCATCCCAAAGAGAGACCCGGGGCTTTAGCAGAAACCAGACAGCCAGCATTCTCCAGCACTAAAAACATATTCTGGCTTTGGGTGTTCATTTAACAAACAGATCCTTGAACCTTGCTTCTGTTTTCAGTTTATTTCAGCCATGTTTCTTTGTGTTCAGTTCATTAAAGCATGTCTCTTTTGAGATCTATTTTTACTTTTCAAGAATCCAGTATTGTATTTTTCTGGTGGCAGATGGCTCTAGACATCCAAGCATAAGCTTTTTCCTGCTTCTCCCCCCCTTTTTTAGGTTCTTTCTGTCCTACACTTGAAAATATGTTAGTAGCAACCTTATTTG